AGAAAAAAAAAAAAAAAAAAAAACTGGCCTGATTGGATTGAAAATTGATCTGAGAGAACTAGGCAAAAGCTCATTTCTCCATACAAAGAGAAGTTGGGCAATGAGACTAGGTCGTGTGGAAAATGTTTTCCATACATACTGAGAAGGAGAGGGGTTACAGAGGAGAGGAGGAAGTGAAGTTGCTGAACGGAATTCAATAACCTCACCAGAGAGTTGGGTCATTATCAAGTCAGTAGCATTCCTGGTCTCCTGGCTCCCCAGTCCTTCTGTCAGACACTGCAGCCTGCTCCTGGCCATTGGCTGTCAGCAGTGGATAAGGGTTTTCTAGCTGCATACTTTATATGATGGATGCCAATTGTCACCAATGAGATTTGGAGCTAGGCTGCATACTAAATGAATCACATCTAAGGAAAGCAGCTATTCAGATCTTAACAATTCAACCACTGTGATTTCTATAAAGACCTGTATGCAGTCTATTTTATGCACTAAAGACTGAGCTGGGAAATGCTTTATTTCTTTAAATGCAGCTCCATCTGACTTTGTAGCAAAACAGAAAGGGAAATTTAAAAAAAAAATCCAAAGAACTTGGCCAAAGAACTAAATCAAAAGAGAAAATATTTTAAAAATTAAGAAATTAATAATAATAAAGTTTGGATGAGGAAGCATCAAAAATCCTAAGTGTGAAATTTGGAAGTGCAGAGATGCACCAAGCAAAGCAGAGAGGTGACAGTCTTTTGTAAGAACAGTGTGCAATGACCGGTAATGACCTCTGAGGTCCAGAGTCTGACCTACATAAACAACAGTGGAGAGTAGGCAAGTGACCGGCAAAGACTGACAGGACCCAGAGTGAAGTGTCACACAGATTATGCTATTTTGGAATGCTGACAGACTCATTAAGAGCCTCCTAATGATATGCACATATGCACACAAATCACACACATGAATCTATACCCACTCACACACAGTTTAGCTGAAACATTGTCAAGAATTTCAGAAATGGCTCCAGACCAAGACCATGCAATGTTATCGGATGCCCTAGCCAATCCACATTCTCCTGGGCCTTTGAAACAAAATACCAACCCCCCAGATCAGATTCTTCTTCACCCTGGCTTGTCTTTTTCCTTTCCCAAATAGCTTGAATCCACAGCCATCCACTGGGCATGTCGTGGAGGAAACCTGGATGTCTTGAAACTGTTGCTGAACAAAGGTGCAAAAATTGGTGCTCGAGATAAGGTATTAACCCTGCCAGTCCCCTGCTTCCTTAGGTCACCCTCACCTCCCCTGTCCCACACCTGTCTACCGAAGGAAGTCCTCTGCAGGCCCATATTCTATGGACACTTTAGCCACACCCCACTTTGCACATGCCTGGAGGTCTAGAAAGCCGCTGTCCTCACCCCAGCACTATTTGGTAATTTTCCAGCTGCTTAGCACAGCGCTGCACGTGGCGGTGAGGACAGGTCACTACGACTGTGCAGAGCACCTCATTGCCTGCGAGGCGGACCTCAATGCCAAAGACAGGGTGAGTAGCTGGCAAAGCGGTCACCATTAGTTTATTTGACATCACTCAGGCAAGCCGGGGTGCCCTTGCAAGACCCACTTCCTGACTTCAGACCCATCTTTATTTACTCTGCTTCTAGGAAGGCGACACCCCTCTGCATGACGCGGTGAGGCTGAATCGCTATAAGATGATCCGACTCTTGATGACGTTCGGTGCAGACCTCAACATCAAGAATTGTGTAAGTAGGCAAAGCAAGGGCACTTGCTGGCTTCTAGCTTCCAGAATGTTTTTAATACTTGAAAATATTCTCTCCATGGTAGTAATTTCTTTGAGCTCTATGGAAACAGGTTCAAATGTTCCTGTTTCCATAAGGACAGGGTCAGAGATGGCAGAAGCCAAGATTCTGTTACCACCTCAGTTCCTAACCATGACTAATAATTCTCTGAAATGTTGGTCTTGAATAGAAGATGCTCAGAACAGCTCACCTTCAAAAACACACTCATATAAGACAATTTCAAATTGCCTTGGTCATTCCTGGCTGAACAGAGCCTGGGGTAGGTGGGAATGGACACACCTACTATTCCTGGAATACTGCACTAAATTCCACAGTGATTGACATTAGTCAATATCCAATCTGGAAATTCATGAGTCCTTCTTTCCTTACAATGGAAAATATTGCCTTTTTTTTTAAAAAAAAACAAGGGTGCCATGCTTTTTCTAATATTTTTCAGATAACTTTCATCCATTCTCCACTTTGGTTTATATACACGTCTCAAAATAATTTCTTATATTTAGGCCCTGAGAATTCTTGTATGAGTACATATTAATTTAACTTCATCTGTAAGCAAGGAATATGAACAAGTTTCCTCACTGCTCTATTTCCCAGACAAACATCATCTACTACAAAAAAGAGGGGGATAAAAAAAAGCTATCTTCTTAAGGCAAGGAATTGCTTCCTCTTATTTGTGTTAGTTTGAGGCTGAGAGGAACATTTTACCATTAAAAAAGAAGCTGGTGTGCCCATAATCCCAAAAGCACTGGATACTCTCAGGCAGAGGGTATGGGGTGAGGAAGTGCATAGGAAACTGGTTTGGTGAGAGAAACGAAGAATGATGATGAATGGATAGATGGATCAGGCTTCAGATGAAGAAATGTTAACAGTAAGTTTCCCTCATGTTAGATATTGGAATTGATGCTGCCTAATAATCGCTTTTCCTTTTTAATGAACAGAAAGTATATTCAAGGAAATCTCTAAAGCAATGAAAGACTAGCCCAAATATGCAGATAGGGCTCATGTTTGTGAATTGCCCATTAGTTCTTGGCATAAAAGTCCTGAAACTATTAATGGCATTGACTCAAGGGACTGATGTTCCTCAAAAGACCAGTGAGCTATTGGATACTATCTTCAAGGGGACTGAAAACACCATCAATATGGAATAGTCTAAAACTCTGTGGTCTTGTCTCCTGGTGAGTAGTATTCCTTAAGTAAGACCACAGAGATGGGGAACTTCTAAAATGAAGGTTAGAGTCAAGAATGGCTTGCCCATGGGGTGCAGGTAGATCACATCACTGACTTCAGTGAGTGGCTGCTGGAGTTTGTGCACATGACTTGGTGGTAGCTCTTTTCTAATCCAGTCCATTGGTGCGCTGTGGAATCACAAGTACTGTATTGTCACCTTTTCTGATTTTTCCATAAAAGTTACAAATTCAGGTGGAAAATCTCTTGATTCTACTACATACATACAGACACACACACTCATACTCTAATGTAACAAGTCTCTACATTGTCAGTCTCAAAGCTGTCAGTTGCAACCTCTGGAAAAAGAGTACTTAGAACTGAACAGAGATAAAAAATTACCTAAGACTTCTCATAGCTAGAGAAGAACTGAAAAGTGGTATGGTTCTAATATATATAAATATCTTGAGACATGTGCACAAGGGAGATCAAATTTCAGTCTATAAGATTTTTTATTACCATTATCAATTCCAAGGAAAATAAATTTCCTAGGGGCTGGAGAGATGGCTCAGTGGATTAGAGCACTGGATGCTCTTGGGGAGGACCTAAGTTTCCTTCCCAGAACCCACATGGCCCCTAACAACAGTCCTAATTCCAATTCCAGGGATCTGGATTGCCTTCTTCTGACTTCCTTGGACATTTCATGACATGGGTGCACTTACATACATGCAGGCAATATACTCATATACATAAAATAAAAATAATAAAATACTAAAAAATAAATTTGCTAGGAAGGTCCAGTGACATTCTGAGAAGTTGTGAAAAACCCAAGGAGCAATCAGCACCCATGCGGCTACTGATGACCTAGCCATGGCGCTACAGCAGCAAGCCTGCCACCAGTCCCTAAGAATTTAGGATCAGATTTCCAGATCACAGGCTCAGGTGGGATAATGCCACCTCAGACCTGTTCTGCAGGGTCCTGGAGACGCCTACAGTCATTTTTTTGAATTTCAAAATGACTTGGGGGTGATCTTGTCAGTTCCTAAGGACTAATTTTACTAATATCTGAGGTCGTTCACAGGTGGTAGAGGGAGAAGGCAATAAAAATATCCTAAGGCAGTGGAGGAATGGCTTGAACACCTTGCTAATAATGCCTCATAGGCACACACACAGAGTGCGAACTGGCACGCCTCCCACCTGCAAGTCAAATTTCCCTTTCTTTTGATTAGGCTGGGAAGACCCCCATGGATCTGGTACTGCACTGGCAGAATGGGACCAAAGCAATATTCGACAGCCTCAAGGAGAGTTCCTATAAAACCTCTCGCATAACTTCATTCTAAGGAAAGAGATTCATCAGGAGCTGTTCACAGGCATTTTGAAAGCATCGCCCAGCCCAACAACCAGCTACAAAATCCAGCTTCTGCTTGTCAGCCTAATAGGAAGATATACTTGAAGAAGCTTCGAGAAAGCACAGGGTTATAGGTGTTTAAATGTCTCTGACAGTCACCGTTTTTATTTATTCTTGTCTATTCATTTATTTTGTAACACTGATTCTTGCTTTCATGAGCATCCATTTGATGAGTAAAACTTAATCTACATGTAACACTCTCAGAGCCCTCTCATAGATAGCTCTTAAACTGTGTAGATGAAGAAGACCTAAGGCCTGCTTATGTGTCCTCACTCACAGAAGCTGTCAAGGTATGTTTAAAGGGCAAGGGTGATTATTGCAACCCTTCTGAATTCTTACTGGTGATGTTTGAATGAAGCAACAGAAGGCATGTAGAAACGGGGAAGGAAACAAAAGACTGAAAGAAGTTCATGGAGCAGACTCTCAAGTCAGCCGTTTCACCCCTGGGGCTGGCTGGATTTGGTTGTTTACTAAGTCACACAATGTCCTTAAGTGAAGAGAACGGCAGGATGGCAAGTCTGGGCAGTGGAGGACGTGGCCAACGCGGCCAGGAACTGAGTTCGAAGAAAAAAGGCATAAGGAAACGAAAACTGTAAATGTGTAAATGTATGTTATATGTACATTTTATATTCATAATAAATGCAAACAAACTCTAAACTTCCTCCTAAGTTCTTTGTCAGTACGGTGGGAATTTCTCCCATAAAAAAGACCATTTAGGAAGGTGGGTTTTCTTTCCAACGTTTTCCAACGTTCTCAGATTAGAAGTGACCCGTACAAGCTATGCTCTTAGTATTTACAGTGCTTGCTGCAGAACTGAATTCGGCCGGTCTCAGGCGAGGCCTGCGATTCTGCATTTTTGACCAACTGCCACGTGATGCAGAGGCGGTGGAACCCAGCAAAGCCAGCAGCGACTGAGAATTATGGAGACGTTCCCAAGGTTCTGCTTCAAAGGTGTGGAAAAAGAGACCCCTGGTGGGAAGAATGATTTCTGCAACTTAAACAAGCGCTGCCTGAGTTCCCATCAGGGCTCACACTGACCAAGGACTTATCAATCACTGTATTGTGGACAGGGGCTGACAGGGTCAAAGGCCTCCCCTGAGAGAACATTTCGGGTCAATGGCTTTTGACCTCCAATGGGAAAAGTTTTGTTGCCAGACGCTAGGCGAGACGCTAAAGACTTCTGGTGAGAAAAACAGATTGTCTCTGCCCTACCCTGTTGGAATAGACAAATATTAAAGAAATAAGTAGAAATAAATATATAATACCAATCTATGGCAGGTGCAACAAAGAGAAAATCTAGAGTGCTCTGAGTATCTAAGATGTAGAGGACGTAGGTGATGGACAGGGTTCATAATGTCTTGGAGGTGGCAAGCTTTAGATTCTGAAAGCGGAGCCGGAGTTATTCAAGCCCAGTGTGCAGCAGCAGAGAACATGCAGAAGCTCATGGGAGTGAGGAGTGCCTGGCACTTGAAATAGATGATGAATGAATGCTACCGAACGCCAGCACTGTGCTCCCCTGAAACTCATGGCAGGTAAGATTGCATACATGAACCTTTAACATACACCTCTGTGATTTTGGTGGGGTGTACAGGCACAGTCTGTAACCAGGACACTTTCCAATTACCCAGCCATGGACATACATGGAGGTCTGAGGATGATCTGAAATGTTTTGGTACCTTCTGATCTGCTCTCCTACCAACTCACAAAGTTCCCCTCTCACAGGCATTGGGGCCTAAAGGCAGGTTCATTCTCTCTGCTCTCTCCTTCCTAACCCTCTTTTGTCACCCCTCTACCTTCCCCCATAGGGTACTGGCTAGCCTGTCAGAGATTTAAGGCTCAGGAAGCAAGCAAACACCTGCAAAACAAGCAGCCATTTCTCTTGCTAATATCTGTTTGGAATAATATGGATGCATCAGTATGTAGCCAAGGTGTCTTCCTCAAGCCCCTTTCCCCCATAGAACTGGGAGGCTAAAAGGAGAAAAGATGGTGTGCTGGATAACTTTAGTGTCAACTTGATACACCTGGGTTGAGGGAGCCTCAATTGAGGAATTGTCTCCATTGGACTGGCCTGTGGCCATGTCTGTGGGGCATCTTCTTGATTATTGGGTGATATGGGAGGGCCCAGCGCACTGTGGGTAGTGCCACACCTGGGCAGGTGGGCCTATATTGTATAAAGAAGCAGGCTGAGCAGGAGCCAGGAGAGCAAGCCAGTAAACAGCATCCTCCATGGCCTGTGCTCCAGCTCCTGCCTCCAGGTTCCTGCCCTGAGTTCCTACCTTGGGCTCCCTGATGAACTGTAATCTGGGAGATGTAAGACAAACCCTCTCCTCCTCAAGTTGTTATTGGTCAGAGTGTTTTGTCACAGCAATGGAGAAACAAACTAGACCAGACAGTAAAGAGTTAAAAGCAAGGATGTGATGGCGATCTGGCTGCAACATCTGTCACCCCATTGATCTCCAGGGTTCATTTGGCTGAGCTGGCTGGCTAGGTGGGTGTCCCCTTCCTCCCTCAATGCTCCACATACGTCCCTCCTGAAGCTGCAGACTGGGTTGAAGAGGACGACCTTCCCCAATCTTCCGTCTTCAGTCAAGGGTATGCGAGTAGCTGCGCTCCCCTGCTAGCACCTCCAAACAAGCTCTCAAGAGTTAAAAGCAAGCTTTGAGTTACCACATGTAAATATCTGCACCAATAAAGGAGTAGCGGGGACCAGTTCTGGGTTATCTCTGTGAGTGGGAAAGAGAAACATTCAAGGGGAAAATTCCATTTCTACCACACAAATAATTTTAGAAGCTCCTGTGTTCCCAATGAACCAACTCTTTGCCCATGGTCCTTACCATGGGCAAAGTCTTACCAAATATACAGTCTAAGTAGCTCTGTAATGTATGTCCTTCAAACCAGGTAAGTCCTCCAATATCAGATGAAATCCTTTGTTCAAAATTACTTGAAAATCCCTTCTGGGCTCCTGGCCTCCAGGCTTAAGCACTCTGCTTTTTAAGTTGCAGAGGAAGTTTTCTAAAGTGGAAATCTGACACTATTAGTCACTTCTCTGTAGCTGTGATAAAGCCCTGTGACCAAGGGAATTTATAGAAGGCAGAGATCGTTAGGCTTACAGTTCCAGAGGGATAAGAGTCCTTCACAGGAGGCATGGCGGCAGATGTTGCTGGAGCACAAAGCTGAGCACTCGCTTCTTCAAGAAGGCACGGGAAGCAGAGACAAACTCAGAATACAAGGCTCTGGACTCTCAAAGCCTCCCCCAGTGATGTGTTTCCTCCAGCAAGTTATACCACCCAGGAATCCCGTGTCCTTCCCCCAACAGCGCCACCAACTGACTGTGTTCAAATACTCGAGCCTGTGGGGGACACCTCCTTCAAACCACCACACTCCTTTCAAACCTTCCAGTGGCATTCCATTTCCCTTGGGATCAGATGGACACTCCTTACCATGTCTTAAAATGCCTTTAAAATGTGGCTACTTCTATTCCTTTATTTTTCATTACTGAGGAGTGAACCTAGGGCCTCATCCACACAGGCCCCATCATACCATGAGCTATATCCACAACTGTTTTCTTGTTTTGTTTTGAACTTTTTGAGACAGGATCTCACTAAATTGCCCAGGTTGGCCTTGAACTCGCTCTGCAGTCCAGGTAATCCTTGAATTTGTGAGCCTCCCACCTCAGCCTCCTGAGTAGCTGGGGTTATAGGTTTCTGCCTCCAGGCCTGGATTAGGAAGCCATTCTTTTTGCAAATGAAACAAACTTTTTTTTTTTACATTTATCTATTTCTTTATCGTGTGTGTGTGTGTGTGTGTGTGTGTGTGTGTGTGTGTGTGGTGCAAGTGTGGGAGCTCAGAGGACAACTCACAGGAATCAGTTCTCTTCTTCCACCACGTGGATTCCAGAGATTGAACTCATGCTGTCAGTCTTGGCAGCAAGCGCTGGTCCCTCCTGAATCATCTCACTGGCCCAGGAAGTCATGGTTGAGCTCTTAGGTTCGTTGGCTCCCTTCAGGCATACATTCATGAATTAAAAAATATTATATTTTTTGTTTTTATGTTGTGTGTATGTGTGTATTGCCTGCATATATGTTAAGTGCATCTGTGTGTGTGTGTGTGTGTGTGTGTGTGTGTGTGTGTGTGTGGTGCAAGTGTGGGAGCTCAGAGGACAACTCACAGGAATCAGTTCTCTTCTTCCACCACGTGGATTCCAGAGATTGAACTCACGCTGTCAGTCTTGGCAGCAAGCGCTGGTCCCTCCTGAATCATCTCACTGGCCCAGGAAGTCATGGTTGAGCTCTTAGGTTCGTTGGCTCCCTTCAGGCATGCTCCTGCTGTGCTTCATTTCCTCACCATGGTTACCATATTGCTTTTACTTCTCTCCTTCCTCAGTGGCTAATTTTCTTTCTTCTCTTGAACAAGCACTACTCATTCAGTTTTTAGCCATATAGAAATGAATAATGAAGAAATCTGTCACCAATAATCTTAATTTCGTGACATTCTTTCTATTTCTGTACATATGCTATATGATGACGTACATTTAGCTTTATAACTGTATCAATTGAACAGCTTATTTTATATGTCTTATAGATGGTATTCTTTTGTTTCAATGTACATGAATCATTTAATTAATTTGGTTATTATTGAGCACTTAGATTATTTTTATTTTCCCGCTATTTACACATTGCTGCAATGAATAGCGTTGTACATTCATCCTTGACACCTAGCTAGCCCTTCCTTTCTTTGTCTTTGTTTCTTTTTCATATGGTCTTACTATGTAACCCTGGTGGGTCTTAAACTCAAAGATATCCTCCCAAGTGTTGGGATTACAGGTAGGTATGAGCTGCAATGCCTATCTCTAACCAGTTACTTTTGAAGACTAAATTATAGAATTATTATTTATTTTGTGTATGAGTGTATGGGCAGTGGAGGGGGACAGACGACACAGCTCATATATGGAGGTCAAAGGATAACCTCTAGGAATCAGGTATCTCTTTCCACCATGTGGGTCTGGGGATTCAAACTTAGGTAGGGCATTTGGCTTGGCAGCAGGCATCTTCACTTGCTGAGCCATCTTGCCAGCCCCGAGTTCATTCTTCCTCACAGCTGAATGAAATTCCAGCATATACATGTATTAGTTTTCTCACCATGCCAAAGCAATTTAAGGAAGGAAGGGTTTATTTTGGTCTACAGTGTAAGGAGAAGTCTAGCATGGAGGGGAGGCATGGTAGCAGGAGGTGACCAAGTGGTCACATTGCCTCCACAGTCAGGAAGCAAAGAGTAATGAATGTCTGTGCATGCTCAGCTCACTTTCTTCTTTTTATGAAAGTCATGGAATAGTGCTAACCGCATTTGGAGTGGGCTTCCCACCTCAATTAACCTAGTATAGAGAATCACATCTAGCCATGTCCACAGGCTTATCTCCTAGTGAGTTTAGATCCTGCTAAGTTGCCAATCAGTGTTAAGCATCATAATGGATGCACCACATTATCTTTATCCATTCATCTATTGATGGACAACTAGACTGGTTCAATACCTTGGTCATTATGAACAGTACCTCAGTAAACACAGATCTCAACTGCCTCTGTGAAATGTTGACTTAGATATAAATGGGTCATGTGGTGGTTCTAGTTTTTAGTTTTTTGAGGGAATTTTATGCAGTTTTC